AGGAACAAAAAATTGAAGACTATTACCATAACTAGGAAAACGAGAGGAGAAATTCGTCTGGGGGGAACAAGAAAATGAAGAGTCCAGTTAAGTGTGGGTGGTAATGAGACAGATAAGAAGCTGAAAATGGCGCTTTGGGAATGAGAACTGGTGGTGGGTCAATGGAGGAAGAGAGCTGCTAAAGAGAAAATAGTGTAAAAAGCCCCTGATGACAGAAGTCAGACCTGAATTTAACAGAAGGGATGGAGATGGAGCTCAGTAGTAGAGTATATGTTAATATCTACTCCCCCCTGGCCCTAGGTGCTCATCCCTAGCACATAAGCCCACACTCATGAAAGAGCTAATAGAAAGGACAGTAAAGGAAAGACTGACTGTCACTCCTTCACCCCCTACACCTACTTATACAAAGACTTTCAGATTTCCAAAAGGAAATCCCTTGGACATGATTTCACCTGTGCTTTGGAATGCTTCCAAATTTTAGAATAATAAAAAATATTTCATGTATATATGCATGTTGGATAATACATCTGATAATACAGAGTAAATGGTAGTTGTTTCAGATTCTGTGGAGCCAGAGTGGGTATGCTGTCCAGTAAGTAGATTTTGTTAATTTTCACATTCTATGAGATGAATCTCATAGTTGTACTGAATTTCCTGAGATGTTTAGAGGAATCTGCTGGATAGTATAGTGACTGGACTTCATGTAGCATAGCCTTATCTAGATGTGTTTGGTTACATAGAGCTGGTGACCAGAATATCCTCTCCAATATTTAATGTCATTGCGCCATCTGCTGGTGGAGTTATTTTACCGTTAGACAACAATAGGCCCTTCTAAACAACACACCTATTAACTCACACTGCTGCACAAATTCTTGGAGGTCAAATATCCTCCCATGCATTCTCTTTGTATGTGCATGAATTCTTGTCTGCATATTAGATCTTTCTGCTTTTGTCTGATGATGGGATGGTGAGGTAAGTGTTATATTCAGTATCAGTCATCAACTTTCCAAACGGTTGGTCAAATCAGAACCTCAAAGCTCAGAATTTGGGTGTGTGCAGGCATCCAGAGACTTGGGCATCAATCTGGACCTGGGAGAGTCCTGGATTGCCTGTGCATTTGGAGAGACTTCCAATCTGGTCGTCAGGATGTATATAAATGACCCCAAAATGCCTCCTTATATAGGAGGCTGTTGCTTTCTTCCCAGATTCACTCAGAAACCTGTGAACAGCCAAGTCAGTTTTTACACATCCAGGTGCTTGAAACAAAGCCCAAATAAGCAGACTTTTAACCAATTACAGCTTCTTACCTTATATACCTTGAGAAATTGCACCTGCATCTGCTTGGTATAGATAAGATCAACTTTGTATGGATAAAACCCCTGTTTTCAACTGCTGCCCTTTGGAGCTCATTGGTACAGAGGTGCCTGCAGGGCTGTTGAGGAACATCATCTAAATATGGAAGTTCCCTCTCTGATCCTGTTTTCTCTCCCCACTCTAGGAATTTCTTGCCCTCTTCACCTTAGAGGCAGTGGCTGCCGCATACAAACCTGTCAGAGTGTGGGAGGCCATCCTCCTACCTCCCTGGCTGGGCGAGAGGCACTTAGGCACATCTCTGTGTCCAGAGCTTTCCCCACCCTTCTCCAGGTCCGAGGGCTTGTCCATGCAGAGGCGTGTCTGGCCACTACCCCAAAGACCCAATCATTGCCCCTGACCTTGGGACACTGCCCCCCTTAATCTTCATTGGATGGGATTTTCCCCAGAATTTTTTGTTCCCCAATAAAAGTCAACTCCCTGGCGTGTTCTCTCTCTCTCACTAGCCTCTTCAGTAAACCTCGCTACCATAATAGGTGGCTGGAGGCTGGAGCTAGGAGAAGCGATCCTGGAGCTGGTTTAAAGGTAATTAGAGTCTGTCTCTTTAATTCAAAACTCCCTAGAGATTTTTCACGTTCTGAACCTTCATTTATGAAGCCGGTGCTGGCCGCGGGCGAAAGTCAAAGTGTTGCCCAAACAGAGCTCATTGCCTGCTACTCCTGCTTTGTGATCATGTCCTTTTCCTTTATTGGCTCTCAGACACTCAGAAAAACTCTCTACATCGGATGCAAAAGGGCTCACCTCCGCAAGGACAAAGAAGTGACCATCTTAAACTGAGACAACTCAAGTTGTTCACACGGTCATGACCATAGTCATGCTCTGGGCCTTTCTTTCAGTTACTGTTGTTCTCCTCCAGAAAGCGACACTATTTCTGAAATAGGGACAAACAGGATTTGGTGCCCCTAGTTGTCCCTTGTCAGAGTGTGCTGGGGGTCTGGTCACAAAAGGAATGAGACCTTGAGATGTGTTCCACCATGTAGCTGTTGCATCTATCTATGCTCTCCTAAGGACAAGCCATACAAGCTGTAGGTAAGATGGTAGAACTTTAGTCTGAACCTGAGTTTGGTCAAAGGCCTTTACATTTGTGGCATTGAGTTATGGGTTGGAGATAAAGTGGGTCAAAAGCTCGTGTATTGGAAAAATGACATTCAATGCAGGAATCCTCAGATTTGAAATGGTTAGATTTTGAGAACTGTAATTAATCATTTAAATGGATGACTAGATGGTAACTATAGGCAGGTGGGGCATGGCTGGGAGGTGTGTCCTTTGGGAGGTGTGTCCTTGGGGACTATATTTTGTCCCTGACTACCATGAACTGATCAACTTTCCTCCACCATGCCCTTCTGCCATGATGTTCTGCCTCACCTTGGACCCAGAGCAGTGAAGTTGGCCTACCATGGTCTACAACTCTGAAACGATGAGCCCCAAATAAACTCTTCAACCTCTTACTAATTGTTCTTATCAGGATTTTTGTTACAACAACAGAAAACTAATAGACTTCACAAATGGAATACATGAAGGGTAGCACAATTTGAAGGGACATTTAGGCCTGAGAAAGGACATTGAGAGACGGAACCTGAAGCCCAGGAGTTCCACATTTGAAAGACTCAAAAGCTTCACACATTTTCTAGTGAAGTCCACCTTCCCCTGTATGGTTGAATGTAGGAAAACAGCTTTCCCCTTCAATGGTTAATGATCAGACTTACTGATCTCATTTTGCCAGCACCACTGTTTTACTCAGCTATTTTTGCTGCTGTGACCAAAACACCTAATAAGAACAATATAGAGGAGGAAAAGTTTTATTTGGGACTCCTGGTTTCAGAGATCTCAGTCCACAGATGGCCAACGCCATTGCCCTGGGCCCTGGTGAGGCAGAACATCAAGGCAGAAAGGTGTAGAAGAGGAAAGCAGCTCAGCACATGGAAGAGAGAGAGAGAGAGAGAGAGAGAGAGAGAGAGAGAGAGAGAGAGAGAGAGAGAGAGAACTCCACTCAAAGGCATAGTGACCCACCTCCTCCAGCCACACCCTACCTCCCTACCTGCCTAGAGTTACCAAGCAGTTAACCCATTCAAGTGAATTAATGCACCAATTAGATTAAGGTTCTCGTAACCCAGTAATTTCACCTTGAAACTTTCTTTCAATGTCTCACACATGAGCTTCTGGGGGACACCTCATATTCAAACTATAACAACCACTGACCAGCCCCATGATCCTGGTCTATTATTTTGTTTATCTATGCCTAAATTCCCTTGTTTGTAAAATGGAGACAATAATGGTACCCAATTCTCTGGGTTTATTGAGACAATTAAATAAAATCAATTAATTTTATTTAACTGAGGCAGTTTAGCATGATAGCTGAGCACATGGGTCCTGGAACCAGACTGCCTGGGTTTCACCTCCAGCTTTATGACTTATTTCTACCTGTCTGAACTTGGGAAAGGCACCTGTTTCTGTAAGTTCAGTTTCCTTAACTGTAAAATGGGGATACCATTACCCTTCTAATAAGGTTGTTTTATATAAAGTGTTAATAAGCTGGTCTGGTGCACTCCTGTAATCCCAGAAGTTGGGGAGTCTGAGGTAGGAGGATTGTGAGTTCAATGCCATCCTCAGCAACTTAGTGATGCCCTAAGCAACTCAGTGAGACCCTGTCTCTAAATAAAATATAAATTAAAAAAAGGACTGAGGATGTGGCTCAGTGGTTAAGTACCCCTGGGTTCAGTCCCTGGTACCAATAAATAAATAAGTGTAAAAAATAAAGTGTTAATCAATGTAAAATATTTAGAACATCACAGAGCTGCTTATTTAATTATAAAAATAAAGCTCTTAGTTTCCGGTAAGTAGTAAGAACTCAGTAAATGATAATGTTATTAGTCACATAACTGCCCAGATAATTTATAAATTTATTAGTCATCCTGTAAAGAAAGAAATATTGGTTGTTTTCTTCTTTTATTATAAAATTATAGGGCTTTTGACTTAAACTTTTGCATCTCCAAATTCAATCCAGGAAGTGACAGGATCAAGGGACCAGAAAGGACTAGAAAGAAAGACAAATGTATTCATAGAAATAAAACAACTCAGACGGTGTTTTTAAAAGGACTAGCTCCCCTTTTTTCCCAATTAAAACTTCTGAGCAAACTTCTTTTGCATCCCTCTTGTCCCTAGAAAGAATCTTTGCAGTGGTCCTCTCCCAAGGGATTTATAACCATAAGAAAACCAGGTATTTTGCCATTCTGGTTGGAGAAACAAAACTGGCCTAGACATAATTCCCTGGCTCCTTGGGACAGAAGTTGAGGGAATCCCATCTCTGTTTTATTGGATTTTCCCTTCTCAAACGCAGGATTTGGAAGAGGATCTTTGAATTGTTGGTGCACCCTCCAAAGACAAGACGAGGCACAGAGCCAGCAACCCTTTGGCCTTGTCTTATGATGGTTGTTAAAAGCACTAAGCGTCCGGGGTGCTTGCAGGGATCCACAGAACTGCCCCTCTCCGGCCCCCTGCGGGTGAGCGCGCTGGGTCGACCCCCCGCCCGCGAGGCGGGCCCCGCCAGTAGGGGGCGTGCGGGAGCTGCGCTCCCTGGGCGCTGTCCGTCCCAAGGGGGCGAAGAGCGTTTCCTACTGCGCTTCTCCGCGAGCAGCGGTGATGGGTGACCACCGCGCTGTTCCTGCGATGGGACGCTCTCCAGTTCCGACTCGGGACTCCGGCGGGCTGCCGCTACTGCAGAGTTTCTCGGAGACTGGGCTGGGGGCTGTGCGGGTGGCCAGGGTGGCTCGAAGGCTGCGTGGCCGCGCCTCCGCCTCCCCCTTCTGCGAACCCTAACTACGTGGCTACATCGCAAAACTCAGGAGCCACTTGGGCCCGGCGTTCGTCTCTACGTGAGTCCCCGGAACCTTTCCACCTCCTCCTGCCGGGAATAAAAAGCGACCAGGCGCGAGGATTTCATTGCATCCTTGCAGGGACACACCAAAATCCCAGCGATGACCCTGACTAACGTTGGAAAGTTACAGCCCACAGCTGAGCTCTTCACCACGCGTCCTTAACCTGCCTCTCCGGAGGTAAGTTGCGTGGTGCAGGCTCCTTGCTTAACTTCTTCATCCCTAGAAAAGTGGCTGCTTCCCCGCCCTAACCTACCCTGTGACACTCAGTCCCTCCCTCCTGTCCTGAACTTCTAACTGTTCAGTTCTGAGCCTTGTTTTGGTGCTAGTTGGCTGCTCTTCTTCCCACCTCTGCTCTACCTTCCTTTGGAAACCATCACTTCCTATTCTGCAAAATCATACAGCAAACGCTTGCTGGAGTGGACTCCTGGGATGGCGGAGCTTTTTGGTTGTCGTTGGTTGTGGATTGAAGACAGAAGGGGCTATTAAATTCTATTCTGTTTCCTTGTCCCTTTGGCTCCTTAAACATTTGTTTGATTAAAAACGCACAAGTAAAAATATATTCCCATTCTCCCCGTTTATTAGGCAAATTGATGAAGAAATTAAAGAAAGAAATTGGGCAATCACACCCTATTATTCCAGTCCTGACTACAAGTTAGTAGTAACATATGGTCGTGGGTGTTTATTTATTTGTACGAAAGTCATCTTGTGAAATAGAACAAACAGAGAATTCCTTTTGAGGAGCACTAAGTCCATTTGACACCCTCTTGCAGTGATTGCCTATTTCATTTAATTTGAAGGGCCCTTGACTTGATCGTAAAATTTAAACCATTGTCTGTCATTGTGCCCTGAGATTCTTCTATTGAAGTTTATTCTTTTTTGTTTAAAGTCAATATTCTTTGAGTGTCCCCTTAATAAATCACAGTTTACCACTTGGGAAAGATGAGATCAGAAAATGGTATTGAAGAAAAGTTCTGGTCTGGAATTGAAGAAACACGGCTAACTTCAGAAAACCTTGTGTTCCGGTTTTGGACACAGTTCTACTGCTAATTGGCAATGTGACCTCTGTTATTCCACCCCCATCCCCCCTCCCCAGATCCCCAGTACTGGGGAACGAATCCTGAAGTGCTTTACCAGTGAGCTACCTTCCTCCCCAGTCCTTTTTATTTATTTATTTATTTTTTTAAATTTTGAGACAGGGTCTTGCTAAATTGCTGAGGCTGGTCTTGAACTTGTGATCCTCCTGTTGCAGCCTTCCCAGTCACTGGGATTACAGGTGTGCACTATGGCATCTGGTCTAGTTAATCAATTATTTACTTGCTCAGATCTTCATCTTGCTCATTTCAGGAACCTGAGACAAATAATCTCTATCCATTGTCCAATGACTGCTAAATTCAGTGAATTCTTGATTCTTGTCTTCCTTGACTTATCAGTGATGGTTAAGAAAATTGACCACTCTCCTTGAAATGCTTTCTCCTTGAAGTCTTACGAGGTTTTATTTCTCCCTCTTTGTCTGCTTCTTCTCAGTCTACCTGACTGGTTTTTCCTCCTCTTCTCTAAATGCTGATGTTTGGGGTGTAAGAGGCCTCTTTTCTACTCCCCTGCATGCTCTCCTCTATGACATTTAAAATCAATACCTTGACAAACTCCCACCTGTATGCCTCCAATGTCGACATGTTCTTCTCTAAACCCCAGGCTCAGGCATCCAGATGGCTTTTTGACATCTTCCATGATAGTCATCTCAAAAGTAGTGTGTCTAAAGTAGTGAATCCTGATCTTCACCCCCAAATCTGCTTTTCCCCAAGTCTTGTCCATCCCAGTAAATGGCGACCCTATCTATTATGGTTTCAATGTGTCTTCAAAATTCATGTGCTGGAAATTTAGTGCCTAGTATAACAGTGTTGACTGGGAGCATTTTAAAAGGTGGTTAGGTCAGGAGGATCTGTCCTCGTGGAGAGATTAATGTCCTATCATGAGAATGGGTGTGTTATTGTGAGAATTGGGTTGTTATAAAAGTGACTTTAGGGACTGGGGTTGTGGCTCAGCAGTAGAGTGCTCGCCTAGCATGTATGAGGTCCTGGGTTCAATCCTCAGCACCACATAAAATAAATAAACAAAATAAATGTATTGTGTACAAATAAAAAATAAATATTTAAAAAAGTGACTTTGGCCCTCTCCTGCTCTCTCTTGCCCTTCCACCTTCTGCCAGGAGATAATCCAAGAGGGCCCTTGCCAGATACCAGATGTCTTGATGTTCGACTTCCCAACCTCCAGAACTATAGGAAAGAAATCTCTGTTCTTTATAAATTACACTGACTGTGGTATTCTGCTACAGAAGCACAGAACAGTCCAAGGCTCTCTCCATTCTCAAGCCAAAATCCTTCAGTCAACTTGATTTCTACCATCAGACTAGCCTAAACCACCCTCTCTCTAATTGAACTGTAGTCTAGCCTCCTACCTGGTCTCCCTGGTTTTTCCCTTGCTTTCTTTTTTTATTTTTTAGTTGTAGTTGAACATAATACTTTTATTTTATTTATTTTTATGTGGTGCTGAGGATCGAACCCAGGGCCTTGCACGTGTGAGGTTGAGCGCTCTACCGCTGAGCCACAACCCCAGCCCTCCCTGGCCTTCATACTCCACACAGCTACAGGAGTAATATACAAGTTAATTGGGTCCGGCAATAGATCAAAACTCTTCATTGATTTAGCTCATTCAGGGACCTGCAGGATTTTGATTTAGTCTTTATTTTTTCTGTCATCTGTTTCTGCTGTCATTTGTCACTTACCAACACTGCAATTGTTGGCCTCCCAGTTATTACTCCAATATGCCAAGCATAACCCTGTCTCCGGGGCTTTGCACATACAAGTCTCTCCATTTGGAATATTCTTCCCCTGAACAGTGCATGGCTGACTGCAATTTCCAGCTGACAAATGTTTGGTTAAAACCCTGTCTCCCCATCTCCATCCTAGATGTGAACTGTGTCTTCAGTGCCTAGATTGGTGCTTGGCACTAAGGTTATTGCACATCTTTATTAAATTCATGAATCTGGAAAGTGATAGTATTATATTTATAGCACAAGGCTAAAGTGAAGATCATACCATGAGGCCAGTTTTTATACTGGAAAGAATTCTAAATTTATAGTTGGACAAATCTGGTTTCCAGTTCTGTTTACATACTTGCTAGTACTGTAAACTTCTCAGAAGGTCTATTTTTCAAGTGTGTGGAGTGGACATATTATAATACCTGGATGGTTTATTGTGAGCATAAAGTGAAACTAAAAACATAAAGCATATAGCTAAGAGGAGGCTAAAAATTGACCAATTTTGATAATTCACATGTGAATGTGCTTCCTAAGCTATAAAACAGCATACATGCATACAGAACTCAAGCTACTGAGAACTATTGTATGCAATGTAGTTGTGTTAAGCGTTTCAGGGTGAATGGTGCTCACAACAAATGGAAACTGAGAAAATGAATAACTGGTGGTATCTATATCTCATATCTACAGACTCCAGTGGAGTAGAGAATTCCCATTTTTGTGCATAATTTCCTTTATCTTGTGACCCTACTGTGCCTAAGGAGGCAATGCATATTCTTATTATCTCATTCTCTCAAAAAACCTGTACATAAAAACTCAGCCAAGTGATGTAATACAAGTGTGTTAGTCAGCGTTAGGTCACTGTGACCAAAATACCTGATAAGAATGATTTAGAGGAATAAAAGTTTATTTTCTCAGGGTTTCAGAGATTTAATCCATGATGGGCAGACTCCCTTGCTCTGGGCCCAAGGTGTAGCAGCACATCATCGCAGAAGGTCACCGCTGAGGGAGGCTTCTCCCTTCATGGTGGCAGGGAAGAGGGGAGGGGAAGGTGCTGTGGGGAAGAGGAACCCTTCCAGGCACGCCCCAGTGACCTGCCTGCTCCAGCCATGCCCCATCTGCCTACAGTTACCATCCAGTGAGTCCATTCAAACTAGGATGGACTGATTAGGTTATAGCTCTCATAACATAATCATTCCACCTCTGAATATTCCTGCAATTAACAGAGTATACCCCGATTTGGGAGTACACTTCCTATCCAAACCATAATACCAAGTATTAGGTGGTAAGAAGCTACAGTTACCATTTTATCAGCATGGTCCTGCTAGATGAGTACTAACTAGTTGTTTTAATTAAGCACACAATGATAGGCTCCAGCTGTTCAAAAGGGAATATGACATATTCCCTTTATTTTCAGAGAATTCACAGTCTCTTGCTCTGTTTAGTCCAGTTTTATAAGGTGTGTATAACTCAGAATGTTTGAGCACAGGAAGAGGTCAGCTACATCAAGTTTTAACTGCAGCAGTTCAAAGACAAACAGCATTCTGAGACATTTTTTTCCCCGTGAAACTGCAAAGGGTAGGCCATATTATTGAGACACAGTTATTCAATATTCTTGGAAACATCTAGGGTTCAGAGGGTTGGAGGTGGGGATGTGTGAGATCCAGATTCAGTGAATTGAGGTTTCAGACTATAGGACTCCTAAATAAATGAGAGCAGTTTCAGGATTTCCCTGAGGGTTCCCAAGTAGTCCAGTGTTGGTTGTGCTATATTCTTTCTCTGGTTTGCAATCTGTTCCCCAGTACTAATGCAAGCTCTGAATGACTTTAAGAATTCAAGCAGAGTGCGGGAGCTTTCTCTAGATACACCGGCCTCCCAGAAGTCCTGCCTCTGAGAAAGTCCCCCTGAGCCAGGGGTGATCTTGAGGAGAAAAGTAGAGTGTACCCCAGTGATAAGCCAATGATCCCTACATTTGGGGGCTCAGTCAGGCTACAGTTACCTGAACCTAGGGAGCAGAATAGTTTACCTGATGCTGGGACCCCACATTTGACGTTAGGAAGGAAGATCATAAGTGAAGAAATTGACTGTAGCTGGCAAATGCCCCCATTTTCCTATAAAGAGGTCTTATAAGCCCTTCCAGTACTGGGACCAGGATTTATTCATCTGCTTGGTGTTGTGCCTCATGCACACAATATTATAGTTATTTATCAATGATCCATAGATTTATTACCCTAGCATATTAATTAGTCTTATACATATTTGTTAGGTTTTCTGGAATATTCCTTGAGCATTCTGCTAGGCCTTGGGAATACAAACTAGAATTATGACCTATTTCCCAAACCTAGTATAACTTCTGTCTTTATTTTTATCACCGTATTTATACTAAAATCAACTTGTGTTTACCTTTCAAAAACCTAGGGATCTCAACAAAAAAATAAAACTTTTGTAAACATAAATCACAGAGAAATACAGTAAGATGATTATTTGTGTTACTTTCTCATCTCTTTACTTTTTAAAAATGTTGATTAACACATGGTAGAGCACATTGGCTCATTTAATTCTTCAATGATCCTCAGCCCTATAGTTAGAGTGAGACAGAGTCCAATGAACCTCCAACCCTTGGGCTCTGTCCCCCAAAGAAGGTAACTTACTTCATTCATAGTACACTGTAGCCCTGGGAGAGGGCTAGACGTCTGCTGCTCTGTGTCCTTGAACCCTCACCTCCTGGCTTGAGCTGCTTTCAAATTCCTGCACGCTGAAGGGAAGGAAGACTGAAAGCTAGTGCTGATTTGTTTTGAATTTTCCACTGTGTCTTGGACTGGTTCAAATACCTTTCTTGAAGAAAGCAGATTTCATGAGCTACTTCATTTATTTCTGGACTATTGAGACACCAGCAGATATGATTCAAGAATCTGAACATGAAAACATGTAAAAATACATGACATTCATTTGAAGCATGTGTAAGTCTCTATCATGGACTTCATGTTGTCCCTGAGCAGCCTGTGGTGTCATTTGAATTATCCATCATCCACAAAGCAGGCTTTGTCTGATTTTTGTGGCATCCATTTGTTCTTGTCTGTCTTTTCTCCCTTTCCACAATATTCCCACGATTACCGACACAACAACTCGTTGTGCCCTGTTTGAATTTTGCACTTGAATCCCTTTGATTAAAGATCTTGACATGAAATCTCAAAGTGTGATTTTTCTTCCTTCAGTGAAGTCTTGTGATGAAAAGATTCTGTTCTGTGTGCAGTCTGGAGAATCCCTTAATTGGAGATTGGCGGACAAAGTTTCATTGGATGGGACTGCTTCTCCTTTCAAAGTGGTTGCTGTTGATCTTTCTGAGCTCCAGTATCCTGGAGAAATAACATAATTAATGATGGGACTATTTATCTTTGAAGAATTTTTCTTCTTGTATTTTAATGATTTTCCAATTGTGTCATGTCTGAGTTTGCTCTTTTATGATTGCAACGCTATCCATCTATCATAAGATGTTGTAGTTACATCATACAGAAAAGCCTGTAAATGTATATATCAGGAATTAAGAAATACATCTAATGCCGCATTTATTTTATGTATTTACTTAAGACTGCTGTGTGAAGGTTTATATGTAGTGGAATATATTTCCACTGTTGGAAAAAAAAAATCTTTACATAAAATGTTTACAGCAGGTTTTAGGAATTTCATTTAAAAAATACAGGCTTCTATGGCAATTAATAGAAATCAGAAACTTAATCCTAGGTAATGCCATTATAGCTTATGAAAAGTGAACAAGATGAGAAAAGGAATCTTTTAGATAAAGAGCTATTTTCCCTTTTTCAACCATTAATTCTGCCAACTGGCTAAGTAAGGACCCATCTGGCATAAGTAAGGGACACACCAGTCAAGACAGAGCTGCTACCTTCAGACAATAACAATATTTTATGATTTTTTTTGCTTTAGATTTATATGCCTGTTATCCCCTACTTTTAGAACTGACTTTTCATGAAGTTTTTAATAATGGAGTAACTTTAATAAAAACCAGTTAATTTAGAATGATGGAAGGAGAGAGTCAGGGCTTGATAAGAATAAATTTTCCCTTTTCAGGTCACTATTGACTTCTCATGTTTGTCAGAAATGAATGTACCTGATGAATCAGAAATATATAATTTTTATAAGATATTTGACATATAAAGGAAATAATTTCTGGAGGTAAGTGGAAATAAGGGTATCTACTATTGTCATAGATAGTTTTCTCCTTTCTTGTCTGTTTTTATAATATAGTCCATTGTGTAGTGCTGTACAAATACCTCAGACTGGGTAGTTTATAGCTCCCCAAACCTTGCTTTTGGGGGAACACATCCAACCATGGCATCTTGTAATAATTTACTTTTCTTTTAGTTAGCATGACTAAGTAGGTAGATTATCACCCCCATATGGCATTGCTTGAATGTAAAATACAGTGACAAAAGCCTCATTAATGGAGCATTGCCAGAGGCATACCCTCAAAATACACGAGTACAGATCCACAGCTTCTATATTTGAATAATGTAAAGGAAATAGATTTTTCTCATTAATAGTTTTTTTCAATTATGGTTAAACCACTGTTAAATGTTACCAAGTAAATTATATTTTGTGCTTTTCTTTTAGTTCCTCAGCTCCTATGGAGAGAAGCATGGTCATTTGAGTTTTGATTTTCTTTTCGAGGGAACTGTGTGCCTGCTAACTGCTGCAAAAGTAAAATTGCCTGTAAGTTAACTATTGTAGTCACTTTAATAACCATGTAACCATATCTTAAAGGGAAACTATCTAAGACAATATTTATGTAAGTGACTCTTTGTGAAATTTAAAAGATGTTAGTGAAGTGGTACCCCCCTTTCTCAACTGAAAAATCTTAACTGGGCCTCTCCAGAAATCTTCACCATGGCTGATTTTAGGACTGTCAGCAAAAGAGTCTCTGCAAAAGAGTTCAATGTAGATAAACTTCCTATTTTCGTGTCACCCTGTTTACTTGGCCACTGGCCGAGAAGATACCAGCACTCCAGGTGCTGGACACCCCCTTACTAGTTTTTACAAACATATCCAGTATAGCACTTTGAAGAAATGTACAAACAAGGCCTCTGGCCTTGAGCTGAGCTTCACAGAGATGTCTACATTTTTAAGATAAGTTACAATTGGGCCCATGGTAACAGCTGGCAGGGGAGGAAAGAAAGGGGAGATGAAGCTCCCCCTTCTTAGGTGTTGTCCTTGAAGAGTTAACTTGCCCAAAACAGTGAAAGAAAAAGCTGCTTTTATGTGAACTTATGCAGACTGTGAACTTCTGAGCCCCTCCCCTTACACACTGGGTATAAAACTCTGAAACTCCCTGAACCCTGAGTTTGATTGATTACAGCAAAGGCTGTACCCTCTGAACCTGGCTGCAGCCAAAAAAAACTGTTTCCTGCTATCTTCGGTGCCTTGCCTCTTTGGCCCTACAACATTTTGAACAAAACACAAGCGGGACAGCAGCTATATACAATTAGAGCAGGCTCCCACCTGGGAAGAGGAGAAAGCCACACAGTCAAAGAGCAACACCTAGGTAAGCACAATGTGGCTGCCACACTGGGACCTTCACGGAACCGCACCACTGCCCTCGAACCTTGGCAGACAGCCCACAGTGAGATTGACATAGGTGACTTTTATACAAATTATGTCCCAGGTCATCAGTCTCTGCTAAGATTACATTAGAATTAAGAGTTGGAGAATCCCAGCGGCCAAGATCCTGCACTGGGAGATAACAAAAAAAATTCCTTCATCTTAAAATGCCAGAGGTTCTATGTATGCCTCCCTTCCCTAAATGACAGTTCCTCCCAGGGGCTCGAGTACACCATCCTTGGGACAGCACTGGACTCTGACTTAAAAGCCCATATCTATCAAGAAAAAGGTCAAATACATTGGTCACCATCTGACTCAGCAACAGAACAGAACAACCACTGAGCCTCAAAAGAAACAGATCTGCTCAATTCCAGTCCCTTCAACCTGCCATCAGACTAGAGAATTCTTGGGGGCTACTGGGTTCAGCCATATATGGATCCCCAACTTTTAGTTATGACAAAAACCCCTCTATGAAGCCACAAAGGGGGGAGAATGAGATCCTCTAATATGGGGGTCATCTAAGCAAAAGGCCTTTGAGGACATTAAACAAGTACTCACCAGTGCACCTGGATTAGGGCTCCCTGACCTCACAAAGCCTTTCTTTCTATATGTCCATGATTGATCTGGAATGGCTATGGGAGTTTTGACTCAGATGCTGGGGACATGGCACCGTCCAGTGTCCTATTTGTCTAAACAGCTGTACTCTGTAGCCCAGGGCTGGCCACCTTATTTATGGGCCCTTACAGCCACAGCTCTTCTGGTGTTGGAAGCTGATAAACTGGCCATGGGCAAGAACTGGTTTTCAGAGTTCCTCATTCCATTTTGACATTGTTAAAATATAAAGGACACTATTGGTTGACTAATGAAAAAAATGGTCACATATCAGGACATGTTATGTGAAAACCCATATATCTGCGTTGAGGTCATCAGAACTCTAAACCCAGCGACTTTGCTGCCCATTGGACCTGGAAAACCTGACCACAAATGTGTTGAGGTCATGGATAAAGTGTTCTCCAGCAGGCCAGACCTAACAGACCAACCTCTCAGGATGCTGATGCAGAGTACTTCACAGATGGAAGCAGTTTTATAAAAGATGAGGTATGTTTTGCTGGATATGCAATGGTCACTCTGGACTCTACTGTCGAGGCAGAGTCTCTGCTTTAGGGAACTTCAGCACAAAAAGGAAGACTTATTGCTTTGACTCAAGCACCTCAGTTGACAGCAGGATTCTGTGTGGATATTTACATAGACTCAAAATATGCGTTCTCTACCCTTCATGTTCATAAGGCCTTATGTAGGCTAATTAACTCAGGAGAGAAAAAACAGGGGGGGACATGATGTATGGTAAGAAATTCTTTGGATGCACTGTGGGCTCCCAGGAAGGTTATGATTATATATTGCCAAGGTCATCGAAAGGAAAACACTGTGGTTTTTCAGGGCAACTGGAGAGCTGACAGAGAGGACAGGTTAGCTGTCTGCAAGAAACAGGAAGAAAATCCAGTCCCAGGTTTAAGTTCTGCACTTCTGCCTGGCTGAGTATCTAACAGAATGGGAGCCAACATACTCCCAACATGAAAGTAAGTGGTTTAAGACTGAAAAAATTTTTTTTTCTCCCAGGTGGATAGTGGAGATTTTCTGATGGCTGGAATAGCCATCCTGGAGATTCTAGCCCCAGCCTTTATCAGACTGTTTTGCAGAAAAACATGTTGGACATACAACACTTGAGACAGTTCTGAGTCGACATTTCTATGCCCCCTAGCCCACAAGCAACACCTGGATGATCTGCAAATAATATGAGGTTTGTGCTCACAACAATCCTTGTCAAGGGCCAAAGCTCCCACCAGGAATCCAAACTATAGGAGGAGCACCTTTTGAAGACTTGAAAGTAAACTTCACTGAACTACCATGCTCACGGGGCTATAAATAACTTTTGGTTTTTTGTGTGTTCATACTCTGACTGGGTGGAAACTTTTCCCACTCGCACTAAAAAGACTAAGGAGATACTAGGATGCTTCTCTGTGAAATTATTCCAAGGTTTAGTGTCCCAATAATTATTGGCTCAGACAATGGGACAGTTTTGGGGCAGAAGTGATAGGATCACTGAACAAGAGTTTAAATATCAGATGAAAGTTATGTACTGCCTATAGGCTGCAGAGTTCTGGTAAAGTTAAAAGGATGAACAGGACTGTAAGGCTCAATTGGGTAAGCTGTGTCAGGAGACTCACATTGTGATGAACTCCCTGTGGATTACATCCACTCCCACTAGGAGGACTAGATTCTTTTCTTTTGAGATAATATATGGGAGGCCCCCCTCTTACTAGGGGACTACAGGGAGACTTAAGAGAGATAGGAAAATTAACCATGGATCGACAGCTTCAGGTCTTAGGGAAAACTTTACAGGTTCTCAACCAATGGGTTAGAGAAAGATTGTCAGTAAATTTGACCCAGGTGCACACTTCTTCAAGCCTGGAGATTGAGTCTGGGTCAAAACATAAAACATTCAGCCCCTAAACTTCTTTGGAGGGGCCCTTTCAATGTTATTTTATCCACCCCAACTGCAGTAAAGTTTGCAGAGATAAGTCTCTGGATTCACTACACCAGACTCATTCCTGCAGCTGAGGACTGGGAGTGCTCTCCAGATGCTGCTATGCCCTTGAAGCTGACCATCTGGAAGAAAAAGGAGCACCCGAGAAGCTTGAGAATCAGAAGGACAACAGCCCTGCTCCATTCACACCAGAAGCTGACTGGTCTACGCATGGCCAAAGCTTAAGGAGACTAAGGCCCTGTTTCAGCCACACAGGAGGGACTGGCTGATCAATGCACGGTGAAAGATAAACTTCCCACCAAGACTAATGAACTCTTTCAACCTCTGAGATAGTTCCTATGCTGTAATGCTTTGCCACTCCTTGCTTCTAGATATATACACAATTCTCTATTTGGTTTTTGGTACTGGTTTGATAACAGTAACTCCTACTGACTGGACTCCAGGTAACAAAATTTCACTTATATTTTTTTATCTTGCTTATATAAGTTTTCTAGGATTTGTTTGGTGTTATTAGTTTGGCTTTGTTAATTTATGCTGTTTAACCTATGCTAACCAAAATGTTAGTCTATTATTTAGTTTGGTTTCCTTTGATAACCTTAAGAGGTTCTGTTCTACTCCTATTCCAACCATGGAGATCATATGAACCATGTGTCAAGACAATTCACTGTAACCAAGAGATGGTAAAACATATATTTAGGACCTGTCCCAGCAGAGGAATGCTATAGATGGATGACTGTTTGGAAAGGAAAAAGAGGTCCATTGGAAAGAAACTTGATTTAGGAAGTCACCAATCTTGGGGTGAAGGTAACTGGCCACCCCAGAAGATTATTGCCACTTATGCTCCAGATACCTGGGCACAAAATGGCAGTTGGAGCTACAGAACTCCTATTGACATGTTAAACAGAATTATCCACTTACAAGCTGTACTAAAAATTATTATTAATCAGACTGCCACAGCCTTTGACCTCCTAGCCACAAAACAGACCAGATGCTAGTGGCTACCTATCAAAACTGCTTGACATTAGATTACCTACTGGCTGAGGAAAAAGAAATATGTGGAGAGTTGTTGCATCCAAATGGATGACAATAGACAAACAGTTAAGAATATAGCCAAAACACAAGAGAACTAGCACATGTCCTAGTTCATACCTAGAAGGGCATTAAAGTTTGGGTCCCAAACTTGCTTTTGGGAGATGGTTTTCAACTCTTGGTAGATTTAAAAACTTAACTGGTGTAATGGGTATTCTGCTGTTAACCTGTTCATTGCTCCCATATTTGGCTCCACCGTGCATTAAAACTATTGGGTCCACTAAAAAAGCTGCTGTTGAAAGGATGACAACAACTAAGGTTTTGGCATTATATAAGGCTTTAAGCCAAGATAATAGTAATGAGGCTCTTAAATTTAAAGGATTAAATTATGGGAAGCATCATTAAAGGGGGGAATTGAAGTGGCACCTCCTTTCACAACTGAAAAATCTTAACTGGGCCTCTCCAGAAATCTTCACCATGGCTGATTTTAGGACTGTCAGCAAAAGAGTCTCTGCAAAAGAGTTTAATGTAGATAAACTTCCTATTTTCGTGTCACCATGTTTACTTGGCCACTGGCCAAAAAGATACCAGCATTCCAGGTGCTGGACACCCCCTTACTAGTTTTTACAAACATATCCAGTATAGCACTTTGAAGAAATGTACAAACAAGGCCTCTGGCCTTGAGCTGAGCTTCACAGAGATGTCTACATTTTTAAGATAAGTTACAATTGGGCCCATGGTAACAGCTGGCAGGGGAGGAAAGAAAGGGGAGATGAAGCTCCCCCTTCTTAGGTGTTGTCCTTGAAGAGTTAACTTGCCCAAAACAGTGAAAGAAAAAGCTGCTTTTATGTGAACTTATGCAGACTGTGAACTTCTGAGCCCCTCCCCTTACATGCCGGGTATAAAACACTGAAACCCCCTGAACTCAGGGTTCAGGGGATTGATTGATTACAGCAAAGGCTGTACCCTCTGAACCTGGCTGCAGCCAAATAAAACTGTTTCCTGCTATCTTCGGTGTCTTGCCTCGTTTGTCCCTACAACATTAGGTGGTATTATTGTTAGAAAATAATGTGAGGACATTTTGTTATTTACCATGCTTAAGTCAGAATTATCTTAAGGAAGTATAATACAGCTAACAATAAAGGGCTTTGTTCACAAAAATTGTATTGATATTGTAGTCTTATTTATGAAACATTTTATAAAAGAAAAACCTAAATGACCCCAAATAAAGAAATAGTTAAGTAATGGGCCAGATCCTGGCAATAATGTCTTATATAGTCATTAAAATTATGAAAAGTCTTAATGTGGAAAATAGCCCATGCTGTCATATATAGCATGTGATAAATGTCAGTTGGTTTCAGTGGATTAAATTTTCTTATTTTAATATGTCAGGTCTAGGAATTGGCCAGAGGCATGGAATATCACAGCAAAAATTCCATTTACACAGATTTATTAGACATAAATTACGCTTAATCGATTATTAGCTTGTTAGAGAATATGTAAAAGCTTTTATGTAGTTATATCATCAACTTTGTGATATTTATTCTATATAAAAAGCTTCTTTACTGGGTAGAATTTTTTAAAAAAACTGTCCCCTTAGTAGCATAAGTAGACCATCTAGTTTGTGCTTTAAACAGCATTTCAATCACAAACGGGTTACTTTTGAATAACTTCACCACCTATGGTAATTCTTACTCCAAACTACTCTCTTACTTTTCTGCATTTGTTACTATAGTCTGTCAACCAAATGTGAAATCATTGATTTCTCATGAGAATTAGAGTCTAGTAATTAGAGTTTAGAGAATTAGGTCTAGTAATGAATGTATAATATTGATAACTTTTAGATATTAATAAATAAAACTTAGGAATTAAAACTGCTAAGAGATCACAAAAGGGAAGTTGTTACTTTGTTTAGTCATTTTAAAGCCTTTCTTCATCACTTTGATGATATGTCATATCTTTCTATTGATTACATTTTGAAATTTATATGGGATTAGTTCATATTAAACAATATAAATATTGCAATTTTAATGTTTAATGTAGCCTTGCAAATAATTAAAAGGTTGATTAATCCAAACGATTGCCTCTGAGATAGCCAAATAAATTTTGCAGTGAATAATATTCTATTTCTATATTTTAGAACTTGGGCATGTTCCTGATTCTGCACAGACTACCATGGTTCTTTGAATAAAGGATATTCACCAAAAAAGGTAATCAAAAATATTTGTCATCTAGACATCATAATTTCCAATATTTAGCAGAGTCTCAGACTTTACGAATGTGAGCCCCCCACACACTTAATAAAACTTATGTATTCAGTAAATAACTCAATCAATATTAGCCACCTTGTCATAGTTCTGTGAAAAGAAACTATTTACCACTTTATAGAAAAATACTTAAAAGCTGTTGTTAACCCACCAGCATTTTGGGGTGATTTGCAGTCAGAATTAGAACTGTACTGGTTGTTTGCTATCAGCCACTCCAGGTCTTCTGCAGCTTGGGGAAGATATTTTTAAGATGGCTCCCTGGAGGCAATGTGAAACAAGTAACTATGAGACCAGTAAATATTTGCTGACTTTACTAGAACCAAATCCCGGAGTCTGGCCTCATTATCACAGTGCATTAGATTTTTGGGGTTAACAAAGAATGTCTTTTGCAGTCAAGTACTGAGGTAACTTCTAGTTGCTTTACCGAATATTTCTTTTTGAAGCATTAAATTAAATGCATTAAAATGTATCTCAATTTAAGAAACATCAGTCCCTTAGAATGATCAAGTTCAACAGGAGACAAAATAGGAAGGGTGGTTGGGAATGTAGCTTGGTGGTAGAGCATGTGCTTAGCATGCATGGGGGCCCTGGGTTCAGTCTCCATCATCATAAAAAATAAAAGTGGAATATAAACATGAGGAGCTTTGAATATTTAGTTGTCTAGATGTAGTTAGTATATACTACTTAGTTTCATTAGTGAGGATTTCAGAATATATCCAAGAATTGGGAGGGATTGTTTTTAATATCATTATTATCCACTAGGGGGAGGCATATCCCCTTTTTAAAAAAGCAATGTGGGGGATATTGGGGAGGGAGTAAGATTATTACAGTATACTGCAAAAAAAGACAGCAAAATATTGTCAGATTTACAAAAACTTTTTCTAAATCAGAAAAATTGGTGGTAGATTTGTTATTTGTACATTATCTTTCATTCACAATCTTAAAATGTCAATTTATCCATATTTATACCTCTTGCTATGTACGTGCCAACTAAAGAGCTAGACATCACTACAGAGTCCAAGACACCAGTGTGTCAATGTTGAAAGGGTGGAAAAAGAAACTAGTTTAGGGCAGGAATTTGCATTCATAGAAGTAACTGTTGAGGTCCTATTGGGAGGGATGGGATTGGCTGTAAAGCAGAGGGGAATCTAGCTTTAGGGAACCCCTGGAAAGAAGGAGAATGGTGGCAAAGAATGAGAAATAAAATGGTGGAGGGGAGACCCTCTGAAGACATTGGGGGGAAATCTGGATGGTGCCATGTCTCAGGAAACAGGAAGGAGGGATTTTAAGAAAGTGTTGATGGTGTTGGAGGAAGAGGCCAGGGGTGATTCTGAATAGGTGGAGAATTAACAACAGAGAAAATGATTTTGTACTTGACTAGAAAGAGGACTAGGGGTATTAATTCTAATTCCATGCACTGAGTAATCATTCTTTGGCCAGTGAATAAGATTGACCCAGCAGAGCATTTAAACACTTTTCAGATACATCCGGTCGCCCTTGTCATTAACTACAAGTCCACGTAGAGTCTGACACAGCAGATGAGAGCAGAGAAAGAATGGGAAGAACAGGATTTTCACTTTGCCTCTGTCCCTAACAAGCTATGTGATCCTGGATGAGCCACTTAGCCTCTCTTTCCCTTGCTTTCTTTATCTATAACTAGATGGTTGGATTATATGAAGTATTAAATTGGTGTATTAAATTATTTTTATTATAAAGTATTAAATTGGCATTCCAGGACCAGCTTCAGGGAAGCTGGGGTGCCTCTGAAATTATAAGCAAGAAATGTTTTTCACTTGAGGGAGAAGATCCGTGGCTTTTATCAGATTCCCCAAATGGCTAATGAATCCTCAAAAGCTAAGGTTTGTTGAATTAGATGATCATTAAAGTCCTGTCTATTTTAGAATTCCAAAATTTTAAACCTCTAGCTTTAGCTATTCTATTTCACATGGTTTGTCTCAGCAGATCACTGTCAGAGAATGAATTAGAGATTAGAGTTTTTGATATGTAATTGACTGGATCAGTCCCCCCTAGAGAATTGTTGAGAAAATTCAGGGGATTTTAAAAGTTAAGATTAGCCATTTCTTTAATAGCCCACAGATGTTTTATGAAGACCCAACCTATATATCTTTATTCAGTAGTTACTAGCCATGCATCTGATGATCATAAATACCAGAAGTGACTGCAGCCTCATAAATACAAGTTGTAGATGCCATTACCTTTAGTGTGTTCATCTGGTGATCAGATTCCCATCAGAGTGATCGCTATGGTGATTCTCTTTTGGAAGATGTGGCAGCAGAGCTGGGGATACCACTCCTCGGGTTTGTGCCACTGACCTTCACCAGAGGGCCAGGAAGTCTGGTGTAGATTTGGAAATGGCAGCTGTCAAAGGAGATGACACCATGTAGGAGGTTATTAACATTTATATATGCTCCAAAGCAAGAAACCATTTTGTCAGTTGATATGTAATCATGATAATTTAATTTGTTATAATTATTGGGTAACTCTTAGGACTGAGCCCTGGAAATCCCTTTTTGATCTATTGACTACTTTATAAAACCTGGTATGTCAGTTTCCTAGATTGGTTAACCATTTGTGTTCATTAGTTTTCTCTCACTATAATGAAATATCCAAGATAATTAACCTACAAAGGAAAAAGGGTTATTTTGTCTCCCAGTTTTGGAAGTTTCAGTCCATGACCAATCAGCTCCACAGCTTTGGGCCCCGAGGTAAGACAACACATCATGGTGGGAGCATGTGGTACAACAGATTCTTATATCACGACCTGGGATCAAAGAAGTGACCAGGGTTTCACAATCCCCTACAGGGACACACCCTTAATGACCTAAAAACCTCCCACTAGTTCCCACAGCCTAAAGGTTCTACTATTCCCCATAGTGCCACCCTGGAGACCAACCCTTTAATAAACGAGCCTTTGGGGAGACTTTCAACATCAAAACTATAGCAGCACTTATATTTATAAACCGCTTATGGATATGGTATTAAGTTGTATTGTTTCATTGAGACAATGTGTAAAGTGACTTTATGCACTTCTGGGTCACATGGAAGATTAAACTGAAATGTGCTTCTTATATAGCATGAAGTTATTTAGCACGATCAATTCTCTATCTTTCTAATCTTACCATTATTTTGGTTCCATGTAACAGGTTTTACTGCAGGTAATACATCCTGTGTGTTACAACAGGAAGGAAAATGACATTTATAATACTTCAATTTGAACATTTCAGTTTGAAAAGCTAAATATTTAAGGCAAGTATTGCACTTTTCTATTGGAACTTTTCCCTTAGCATCTGAGCTTGGTTCCCTGTGAAATGCAAGAATTGTGGAAAATTCCACCTGTGAAATACAAACACAGTTTTTGTAGGTTATTAGGTACTGGAAATATTGGTACTAGCTGTCAAGAACACAACATAATCTATTAATTCACTTATTGGAGTATAAACAGATTTGCTAATTAGCTTTATTTCCCTAAAGCAATTGGTTTCCTTCACATAAGCCTGCTAAAAACACTATCTGTACAGAAGGTTTAGATTTATGATTTGTGAAACTGCTCTGGAAATAAACTCTTTTCAGAGCTGTCCTCTTGATGTGAAGATAGTGTATTGTGAGTTTACCTTTATCCTTCTAGAAAAGGTTCTTATATTTTCACGACCTACAAGGAAACAGTGATGAGTGGATCTCATTGATTGATTTTAAATATGGCCTTGCATTACCATGTGGCAGTCTTCTACTCTCATGACCACAGTGTGGTGACGGGGCTGTAATATAGCTCAGTCGTAGAGTGCTTGCCTATCATGTTTAAAGCCTTAGGTTTGATCCCCAGCACCACAAACGCAAACAAAAGACAAAGTGGTGACAAAGACACTAAATCTTATCCACAGGAATTACAATATAGATTCATTTTTGCCTTTTGGAAAGGAAATAGCCTTCTGCGATTTTAATTTGGAAGCAAATATGGAAATAAGTAATGACTTCTACAAAGGAGAAAAGTGGGTTCCTGCCTGGGAATAGAAGAATTTGATGCTTAATAGCTTAAAAGCTATCTAATCCCTGTTGTGATGGTAACTGAGCACACTGTAAAGTAACAGGTCACATTTTTATTTATTACTTTACTTTTCATATATATATATATATATATATATATATGAAGTATATATATATACTTTTTTATTATGTTTAGTATCACACACTTTTAAATTCTGCGTTGCTGATTTAAGGAGGGAGAAGTTCCCACTTTTTTGGTGGGAAGTTATTTTTTGACTTTGGGCACTAAGTCAGGCTTTAAAGGTACAATGTCCTCAGAACCTTCGATACCTCCAGGCAGCAATGTTCTCCTCTTATAAATGACTACATCAAAGCAGTATCAGTTGATGCCACAAGGTTTATATATTTTCTGGTGCTTTGGCCATAACTTAGGCTTGGAACCTCTCTCTTTTTTTTTTTTTTTTGAAGGGCATAGTGGTCAATCACCGTTTAATAAGTTCTCCAATCCTTTAGCACTTAGCCTTAGAAAACATTCTTAACATTGGCTTGGTAGGAAGGATGTTATTTCTTTACTGTAGAAAAATTGAATTAGGACCTTCTAAATATGGTACAGAGTGAGAAGACACTGTGTATATAAGCAGGTTGAGCATCCCTTATTCAAAGTGCTCAGGACCAAAACAGACTTCATTTATTTTTTAATTAATTAAATAATTATTTTGTAGTTGTAGATGGACAGAATGCCTTTATTTTATTTGTCTATTTTTATGTGGTGCTGAGGATTGAACCCAGTGCCTCATGCATCCTATGCAAGTACTCTACCACTGAGCCACAGCCTTAGCCCCAAAACATGTTTTAGATTTTGGATTCTTTAAAGAAAATTTGCTGTGCAAAATGAAATATGTTAAGAGATGAGACTCAAGTCTAAATGTGAAATTCATTTTTTCATATGCATATTATATACATGGCCTAAAGGTAATTTTATAGAACACAATACTGTATTTTTAGTACAATGTTTGTTTTGTTTTACTGCAACCTGTCACATGAAGTTGGGTGTGGAATTTACCACTTGTAGCATCATGTTGGTGCTCAGAATATTTCAGATATTGGAGTATTTTGGACTTCAGACTTTGGATTAGGGAAGAGGGAAGGAAGAAGAAAACAAACAAAATAATTGTAGGAGACAAAAACCTTACTCCAGGTACAAATTCATGCTTTTAATGGTGTCTGCAAATTTCCTTCTCCTCTCCAAATCTGTGATAACTGATCCTCCACCCCATACAATCTTACCTTAAAGATGAAACTCAGGCTCAGAGCAGCTGGGCGGGGGGCAGCTGCCGAGAGTCCAGAGCTTACATTTTCAACCATCAGACTTCACTATGTCACTCTTTAATTCAGGTTCCTCATATATAAAATGAAAGCCCTAATACCTACCTTAGAAGATTGTTGAAAAGCAAATAAAAACTTTTTAAAAAGTGACTGAAACAGATTAACCTTTTTCAATGTATTTTGATTTCTTTCTTTATTCCAATAATGAAATTTATAGAATTTTACTTGTATGTTACATTTTTATTGTTCTAAATAAATAAGTAAAAAAAAAATAAACGTTCTATGACAAAACTTACCAATGTTTTGTCCATTGTTTATGGAAGGACACTCAGCAAGGATCAGTTATCACAGGTTTGGAGAGAAGGAAATTTCCAGACATCATTAGAAGCATGAATACATACCTTGGGTAAGGTTTTACCATGTATGTCCTTTTGTTTATTCTTCAACCATCCCTCCTTCCCTCATTCCAAGTACAGATGGATGTATGGGATTTCAGCAGAGTGTTCTAATTTAAAAATCTCAAGGTGTCCAGGCAGTAGCAAAAACTCTTGGGTGTATTAAAGGGAACAAAAAAAAATAAAAAGAAAAGAAATTCATTTTTAACCTTTTAGGTTAAAAGCTTTAGGGTTAAAGCTTTTTGGTTGTAAGAGGTTGGAAGGGTATGTACTTCAAAGACTTAGGGGGCCCTGGGCTTCAACATTTTGCTTTCAAATGATTCAACATGTATTGCAGTTAATTTATTCAAGCACTTAGAGGCTCAGGTGGTAGGCTGTTAGCTGGGGATGCATTGGAGAGTAAAAGCCCAACTGATAATGTAGCTAGAAGAGCAATGTGCTAGGATTCTTTACCTCCTGTTATAGTTTGGGTCTAGCATGTCCCCCACAGGCTCATGTGTTCTCCATGCAGCAATGTTCAGAGGTAGAAATTGTAGCAAGTAGATCATGAGGGCTCTCATCTCACCAATGGATGAGTCCATTGACTGATTCATAAGTGAATGGATTATTGGAAGGTGGTGGAAACTTTAGGAGCTGGTACCTAGCTGGAGGAAATAGGTCAGTGGTTGTGCCCTCAAAGAATATATCTTGTAACTGACTCCCTCCTCTCTTTCTTTCTGCTTCCTGGCTGCCATGTGATGAGTGGCCTCCTCTACTACATGCTCCTACCACCGTGATAATACTGCCTCATCTCAGGCCCAAAGCAAAGAAGGCAACTGACCATGGACTAGAACCTCTGAAACTGAGAGCCAAAAAGATCTTTTCTACTGTAAGTTGATTTTCTCAGGTATTTTGTCACAGTTAGGGAAAGCTGACTAACATAGCTCTCCACCGCATTGTGAGTTTGTGGCAAACCTGGGATACTAATTCTTATTTCTGAATGCTTAGTGTCTATGACAGGTCCTATCCACAGAAGTATCTCAGTAAATGACTGCTGATCTAAACTAACTGTAGCCATGTAGACTGAACAGTCAAGAATAGTTTTTGGAGCAACAAGGATTTGTCTTGTAGAGAGTCTGAAGGCTTTCTTCAGTGCCATTCAACTTAATACAACCTAACAAAAAGGCCCTTCTTGTTCCTCTCTAGCAAATTCTAGTGGAAATTCTGCATCCTTTTATTTTTCTGAGCTCATGCATCATTTAAGTTCACTTACAAGGCATATGGTTCCCCAGCCAGGTGGCATGTCCAGACACAATCCCCTAATCTCTGTATCAGTGTCCCTGGCTGCTCTCCTAGCATCTTTGTGCCTTGGTGGTACTCAGTAGACAATCAGCCTTGTAAAGAAATGGTGGGTGGACTGTTGGGAATATGATACCATGAAAGGCTGTGGAAATGCAGTAAGGCAGAAATAGGGTTGAGCTGAGAGGAGACCAGCACGTGTTTTTGAGGGCAGCCGCCTACTAAATTTTAGAAAGAAGAGTTCCCCTAGAGCAATGATGATGAGCTGGTAAGTAAGATGGCTCCTGCAATAAGTGTGCATGCTATTTCTTAAAAACAGACCCTTTAAATTTTGTTTTAATTTTAAGAATAGGAAAAAGGTGATGTACTGCCTCATCTCAGGCCCAAAGCAAGGAAGCCAACCAACCGTGGACTGGAACCTCTGAAACTGAGAGCCAAATAAATCTTTTCTACTGTAAGTTGATTTTCTCAGATATTTAGCCACAGTTAGGTGACAAAATACCTATATATACATTATAATACATTCCACTGTCATATATAAATTAAAAAGAAAAAAAGAAAAAGGTCCGGGCATGGTGGCACATGCCTATAATCCCAGTGGCTCGAAAGGCTGAGGCAGGAGGATCATGGTTCAAAGCCAGCCTCAGCAATTTAGCAAGGTGCTAAGCAACTCAGTGAGACCCTGTCTGTAAATAAAATATAAAATATAAAAAAAGAGCTGGGGATGTGGCTCAGTGGTTGAATGCCCCTGAGTTCAATCCCCAGTACCAAAAAAAAAAAAAAAAAAAAGGAAGAAAAATGAAAATTTTAAAAAGGAAAGGATGGGGGGAAGGAGGAAATAAAAAAGAAACTTGTCTGTCTTGACCTGGGATTCATTTTGGGGATTCTTCCTTCATACAGTTATGGTATACTACTCTCAGGGTTGGTAAGAACACAATCCAAGTAACTAACTTGACAATTTTTTTAAGAAGTTCTTGGCTGCTAGGATCCCCACAGCATCTGATACAGTTGCAAATCCAGGATTTTCAAAGGAGGTTGCTCCCCAGAAGAAAACTCCCAAACCTAATGGTTCATGATTCAAACTTTTAAAACACATATAAATGGATATGGTATTTAGAAATTGGAATTATTTAATGCAGAATGAAATAGCATGTTAAAAATCTCTAAAGAAATAAAGATAGAATGAAAACCTGAACAAGACAAGAAGCTTTCTAGGAAGGTTTAGGTTTGAATAGAAGCCAGATGAACTCCAATTAGCTAAACGTGT